TAATACATTGTAAGACCTATAGGAAAACAATATTGTGTGCCCTTGCGAGCCCTATGATGTAAACAAATACCATATGGCGCCCGGTATGCAAATCAGCCAACCCCCAGCTGGTGCCTGGCCGCTAAGAATACTTAAACTCCACTCGCCACTTCCTCCTGACCCGCAACGCGCATCACGTCGGTGGAAAGCAGCCCAGGGCGAGGTGGACCGGGACTCTCCGCATGGCCTGTCCGATTCCCTGGGCGTCCTGGAGGCATATGGAGACTGAGAACTAGCCAGGACCGGTTCGGAGCCAGCCCCTGGTGGACTACGATTCATGTCGCAAGGTGAGCACAGCTTGGGGAAGGCTGAGGCGCTGTCGGGTGTTAGGTCGTAACTCCCAGCAATAAAGTGTGTGTATGAGCAACTCAGTTCCTGCCTAAGTTAATTTATTTAGCTCCTGACGGATGGTCAATTTGATACTGTCGCCTGCTCGGGACACCTACATAATAAGCTAACACCATCTTTAATGTGTTCTTTTGCAAAGTGCCTAACATCATCAAGCCTTTATCTAGAGTTCATTTTGTCGAAAATAGAGAAACAGGATAAAAGATGCAACAAGGAGGTAATCAGACAAATCCAGAAGCTGGGGCATTCTGATGAACATCTGTCCATGTCTCTTCAACAAGGTACTTGGCAAGATTGAAAAAAAAAAAGACTTAAGGGTTCCATTGTCTAGGTAATCCAGACACAACAGCTATGAAACATATTTTGGGGTCAGAAATGGGAATACAGTCAGTCTGGTTGCTAGATGAAACAAATCTACTGAGCTGGGCAGAGGTAGATCCTAGACTGACAAAAGCATTTAGAGTGGTATGTAAAACATGACTCCTTTTGGTCTAACACTGCATGTGTAGACCCAGAGATAGTGTAGTCTTTTTCAGCTCAGGTGTTGAGTATGTGATCATTTTTCATGTAAAATAATAAAATAGGAAAAAAGAATGTGATCGTTTCGTTTTGGCTTATAGTGGTTTTAGTTTTCTACAGCATACATGTACTGCTTCTCTAGTAATAAAAGAATTGTTTAAAAATATATTCTGTAGAAAATTTATATGAAGTTTTTGTAATATTAACTATCCATTTGCGTCTGTCCACCATAGCAAATTTGTTAGAAAAGAGACCGAAGTAGACATGAGTAGAAGCTAGGGAAAACTGAAGTTTTTTTTATTGTTGTGCTGGGTTGGGGGTACATTGTGGCATTTACAGAAGTTCTTGCAATGTATCAAATATATCACACTTGAATTCACCCCCTTCACTGTTCTCCTTTATCACCCCCAATACTGGAGGTTTATATAAAAAAGGTCTCAACTTGAATTCTCTGACTCTTTGTAATGCTTTAACTCAATCGAGATAAATTTACTGCCTTTCATGTCATTTATCATAGAAAATGCTGAGCATTAAAGACATTGTCTTGACTTTCTCCCTGGAGGCATAACGCATCTCATTATTAGACAGCTCAGTATAAAATGTATTTTGCTAAATAAACGAACAAAGTGTAAAGGATTCTAGGTACCTTTGCATAATAATCAACCTGTTTCTTTTTCACTAGGAAGGGTCAAAGCTTAATGGTTTTTAGGATCACCACTATCTATGCAAATTGGATTTCTACAAAATAAGCAGCAGTTTTAGAATGTACATATTCACATTCTGATTGTCTTAAAAGTACATCAGGTAACAGAAAAATTATTTTCACCAAGAGACTATTCAATTTCAGTTGACTATGACAGCAAACCAATTTAATGTCATTTCTTCCAAAATTCAAGTTTAAGTTATATAATTTGAGAGTTGTTCACATTTTAAATTTAAAGCTTATCATTTAAAAGTCCAACTTTTTAAAAAATTGGAAATCAGTTGGCATAGTTAACTGTTACCTATTTACATCAGAGTTAATTAGGTCTGGAGGTTAAGATTGAGTTTGAAGCTTACCACTTACTACAGTTGTAACTTCAGGCAAGTTATTATTGTAACTGAGTCCCAGCTTCAGTGTTTAGTTTTTGTTTTTTAATCTATAACATGGAGAAAAAAGCATTTATCTCAAAGGTTGGTATGATTAGGTGAGATTATGCATTTATTGAGTCAGACTCAACAAATGTCTATGATGATGATGGATTCTCTTAGTCCTGACCCTGACAGTATTTCCGTGCAGCTCCCCACAACCCACCAGATGCTCAGCAGCTATCTTAATCCTCCCACGTGAAACACAACTGCTGCTCTCACACTGCAATCTTCCAGTAGATGGAGTCATTTTGGGATCGGAATCTCAGCCATCTATACCCTCCTTTTCACCCACCACATCAGATTCCTGTTAGCTCTATCTTCCTATTTTGCATCCTACTACTCCTCCCAGAGCTATCCCTGCCACACCAGTCTCAGCCAACACCATATGAAGCCTGGCCAACTGGAAAGACTTCTGATGGAACATCCTGTGTTTCGTGCTTGACCTCCTGGTCAAGCCCTTCAGTCTGTGTTGCACTCATCACAAAAGGAACAAAGTCCAACCCTTCCTTTTTGGTCCAAAAGAGTCATGGCTTCTGCAGAAGTCGAATCCCGGCACTTTGCTCCTCACTCGCTCAGTCCCAGCCAGACTGGACTCATGAGTATCTTGAGCTTGTGGATCACACTTCTGCCTCTAGAACACGCCTCAGCCTTTGCAGTCACCTGGCCAGTCCTGTGGGAGGGATTCCTTCTCTGGACCGGATGCTGGGCAGCTCTCTATCCCACTTGTCTGTTCAAATATCAAACTTTCCCTGACTACCCCATCACAAACGCAACCCCACCACTCTGTGTTATGTTTTGTTATGGCATTGTCAGTGCTTATTTTATCTATGCGTGTATGTGTGCATATGTATATGCGTAGGTTCATTTATAGTCTGTCTCCCAACACATACATAAACACATACATACACTCCATGACAGTGAGGACTTCATTTTGTTCATTGCTGGATTCCTATTGTCAAGAACAGTGCTTGAAGGGGATGGGGTAGAGCTCCTCAGCCCCAACAAAAAGTATTAGCTGAATACTCAGCACTTAGGTCTACCACTTAAACACTGAGCACTTTGCTAAGTGGTAGAGTGGGTGGTTAGCTTGTGTAAGGCTCTGAGTTCCATCCACAGCAATTCCACCAACACACATAAAGTGGGTGGGGGTATTGGTCATGGTAGCACACTTGCCTAGCATGGCATGAGGCTTTAGGTTTGATCCCGAGAACAGCTAAAGATACCTCATTGGTTACTTATAGCTATAAAAGAAATACTTTTCAATACATGAAGAGTTTTTCTTGTATAAAAACTACGTTAACCACATACTCCAAGCACTACTAAAATAGATACTAAAAAAAATAGGTAGAGAAGTTATATAGGATTCTGGAATAGAATATAATAGAATTCTTCTATATTCCGTGTGCTTTGCTGAAGCCCTTATAGATCTAAGTCTGAAAATATGTGCCATGGCATTCTTTATTTTAATTCAGAAAACCTACAGAATTTTTATTTCATTTTAGGAAATCCAGCAACAATCTAACAGAAAAAGTTTTTGTATTTCATTAGCATGGTGGAAGAAATGAACATTAAAAACAACCACAAAAAAGGTTCCGTGTTTGAAACAACCAAGGGACTAGTTATTTGACTGAAATATTTGCAACAAGTGAAAGAGAAGTTTTTCCTGGTTTTACTTATTACTCCATGGTTATGTGTAAATAAATTATAGTAAGGGATAAACTTGTTTTGAGACTAAAATAAAAGGGGAAAATTGTATCAGAGTGTTAATGAACTAAAAATAATTCCCTCTGCCAACGGTTATTTTATAAAAGTCCCAAACTGGTTCTAAAATAATAGCTAAATACATGACACTTAAACTCACCATTTAACTTACTATATATTTAAAGTGTGACAGCTAGTATGAGCTATAAAAGTAATGTCATAAAACCACTGGATCCAATCAACATAGAGACATAGCGCAGTATATATCAGAGAAGCTCTGGCAGATAACTCTGAACCACTCTCACTTTATCTGTGCTTTTCTTATGGTGCTTTTTGCTTTTGGTCTTTTATATGCAGGTATTGACATTTGGGGACACTGGGTTTTCAGCCCAATAACTGTGCTCCTTACTTACATATTTTCTGAATGAAAGAATGAGTGATATGGGGCGGTTAAAGTTGGAGCAGTAAACACTGTGCAAATGCAATTGTGGATGTTTATTTGGAGAGTTCTAAATACTGCTTTAAATTTTTTTTTTTTGGCAGTGCTGGGGTTTGACTTGGTCTCATGCTTGCTAGGCAGGTGCTCTACCACTTGAACCACACAGCCAACTAAATAATGCTTTTTCATATCACATCCTATACGAGTAAAGCATAGAGATAAAGGTGGTTGTGTGCATGCTATTTTGCTTCACTGTATTGATCACAGTGTAATAATGCAGCCATTTGTGTAGTCATTTGCTTAACATCTGTCTTCTCTACTTTACATTCCAGAGGGTAAGGACAAAATGTGACCTCTTAGAGCCTCAGTATCTCACAAAAATAGCCCCCTACAATAATAATAATAATAAATGGATATATATGGATATATATATATATGTATATATATATATATATATATATATATATATATATATATATAAGGCCCAATAAATATATTTTGAATCCATGACTGCAGTTGTTGCTGGGCTAACACATACCTTGAAAATGACTGGGTCCCCGTCCTGGCTGAGACCAACAAGCTCTCACAGCTTCATAGACCCTAACAATTTGCTTTTCATTGGTTTTATGATTCACACTTTTTCACATGCATCTTCCAATTGATAGTGTCTAAGTATCACGAATAGTGGAACTACAAGTATTTTTTTCTGAATATTATATAAAATAGCATTATTTTTTAAAATGATGGCATTTTCCAATTAGTCAACTATAGTTACTGTTAATTCCATCTTAGTATGGAATATGTAAAAACTTCAAGTACTTACATCAATTAAATCCGAAAGGTCATGAATATAATACTTGAAGACCGAGGCATTGGTAGCTTCCAGTGTTAGGAGGTACTCATTCCGCGCTTTAATTGATTTTAGCTTATTTTCTGAGTATTTTGCTTGCCTCTGGAAATGAAGAAGATCCAGGCATTGGGAAAGAAAGCAAAGTCATTTTAAAACAAGCCAGAGAAACATACATGAATTTTTATTAATCTAAACAACTTATTCCATATATACAAATGACCCTCAAAGGCCTTTGTGCAAAAGTACATTTTGAATCTGATTTAAATAGCAAACTAAAATTACCCAGCTATGGGGAATAAGAACAATGTATTTGGGCTCCAGGCCCATTTGTAATGAAACCCCTTGTTAATATTCAAGCTGTCCACGTTTGTACTGAATACTTGGCATTTACTATTAAATGATGTCCAGCTGTTATGACATGATCCTTATGTGTCTTCAACATTTTTCATTCCTCTGGGAGGAAGTGCATATCTTTTCATAATAATTTATATGTGTGGTTATCAGCTATTGCATTAGTGTTTTTAGTTCTATATTGTCTCCTTAAATGAGGACAGAAGGGCGCTGCAATGTATTTTCACTTACCTTTTCTTTCATTTTTTCAATTTTCTTTACAGAGCTGCGCCGCTGGTGCCTCTCTTCTAGTCTAATATGGAAGACTGGATCGCCAGATCTTCCGATTTGCTTTTCTTCTTGTTTCTCCGCCTCTTTTAGCTTGCTCTCTGCACTGATGCTCTCTGCATGATACATATGGTATGTTTTCATCACCTGTGAAAAAGTGACCCAAATTGTTAAACGATGTCTGTCTATAACTCATAAAGTGAGTGGGAACCATAATATGAGGTGTATGTTTAAAAATATCTCCTTCCAACTGGCAGAGGAAAGAGATTGTTAGTAAAACAGATGAATGATGGCCTGTTGCTTCCACATAAACCAAACAAGTATGCAAGTTCACCTGCCAGGAAAAGGCCAGTAGGGGACAGTTTTGATGAAAAAATGATCAACAGAGTCTTATGCATACTTTTCAATTTACTTGAAAAGTTCTCTAAGCTTAAAAAATGTTTCTCTAAAATCTCCTCTGCGTTATTAATATTCAGAATAAGCCATTTATTCACAGGTAAGTTTAGCTCAACCAAAACTTCAAATTATTCTAGTCCTTACTAAAGGAATTTTGATTGCATAAAATCAAAAATACCAAAAAAATCACACAAAATAAAAAAAAAACAAAAAAGTTACACAAAATCAAAATACCAAATGTAAATATTAAAATTCATTCATAGGTTTAATTTTTTAAAAATTACTTTTGACCACAAAGAACTACTTTTTGTTCAACGTAGGACATGCATGATACAAAAAAGGAAAGAGAGAAAATAAAAAACAAGAAAATATAATACTTGTTAAGATTGGATATACAGACTTCGCCTTTTTCCTATGAAAACACACACACACACACACATACTCATATATACACATACATGCACACACACATATGCTCACACACACACTGTAGCATACATACTTTTTCATATTAAAAGATTATATCTAATTTCTCCCTTTAAAAATGTCAGATTATCCTGTATAAATAATTTTAATGTCCTTTTTCACTTAACACATCTGAACATCTTCCTCTATCATTAAACATCCTAAAACATAATTGTAAGGTCTGTATAGCATTTCTTTATGTGATTAATTTGCAGCTGTTGAACATTTTAGGGTGATTTCAACTTTTTGCTTTATAAATAAAGCTATGCTGAAAACCCTTCATGTATATCTTATTTCTTCTCTTGGAAACAATACATATAATTTGTACTTTAGTAAAATTTAGGAATGTACTGAACATAAAACTTCTGTAATGTATCTTTCCCATGTATGTTGAAAATTGAGGATTATAGAATGAATCCTCAATTGTTAAAATTTTGGTTATGTTATTATTATAAAAATATTCTTGCACAAAATTGTGTCATATTTTCTAGGGTAAATTTCCAGAAGCAGAATCACAGGGTTAAAAAATATGCACATTTCTGAGGCTTTGAAATACATGGCTAATTTTACACTCTGCTTATAAAGAATGAAACAAACACCAAACTAACTCATCTATACAGTTATTTCTCACAGTAATTCAGATAATATGTATTTAATAAATACTTTCTCAAGTAATGAATAAAGGTGTCCATTACTTCTTTTAGCAATATCTAGATATAATCTCTGTATTCTTAGATACAGAAGAATAATAGTCACATATTTTCAGAGATTTTATCTGAAAAATCGCAGTTTTCCAATATAACTTCAGTGTGCTGTTATATGCGGAGTCAGACATCCAGGCAAATTCTGCAGCCTGTGTATTGTATTCTGTGCACAGTTATACTCCTTAAAAGAAACAATATATGTAGGTGGGATTCTCAATGCAAAAGATGAACCAAGATTCATAGCAGGACTTAGCCCCCCCGTGGTAAGGTCAGTGTCGGCTCTTTCTCATAAAGTATGTCAAATTCACATTCCTCGGGAGACGTATTTTATCTCATTTACAAATAAACAAGAGTTATACAGATTCAATTTTATACCCAAGGTATAGTTAAGAAGTTGAGATTAATGTAGTGTTTGAAAGTAACAAACTATCTTTCTCATTTCAAAAGATGAGTTTCAAAATAGATTGAAACCTATAAGCATCACTGGAAATAAATATACTTAACCACACAGGATTGTTGTTTCTGTAGGTTATGAAAAAAAAGGGGAAACCAACACTTTCTTAGGGTCCAACAGCCCTCCTTTTTTTTGCGATGCTGGGCCATGAACTCAGGGCCTCACACTTCTAGGCAGGCCTCTTCCACTTATGTCCCTCTACAGCCCATCATGTATTTTTAAGATGATTATTTGGAAGACTAAGACATGGGGTTCATGAAGATATTTATTTTCATAAGATCTGATAATGTCTTTCTTTGAAAATGCAAAAGTTGTATGGACAAGAACAAGGGGCTAAATGACCAAGTAGTGGCAGCTAGCTGTGTGACTTTGGAAAGTTGTCTGTTTTTAGTAATGATTGAGTCTATCTGGGGGAAGTTTGGTTGGCCAGACTTTTAAAAGAAAAATAAAATAGCATTCGGAAGCAGCTGGGCAGCTGGGGAATGAGAAGGGAGTCACCCTGCAGCTGGGCAAACACAGAGGCCAGTGAATCCATTACACACCTTGCTTTTCTAAGCTTGGCTCTGTTTATATTCCCTGCCTGAAGCAAACCCACATACCATTTAGGTCCTGGTGCCAGTTACATCTTAAAGTGAGAGGTTAAAAAAAAACAACAACTCAGACACACACACACACACACACACACACACACACACACACACACACACACACACACACACACCCCTACTCCCCAGAGTTGCTTAGCCATCTGTAGTCTTCTTGCTGATAGACAAGAAGGAATCAGTGAGAACAAGTGACTCCCATCCCACTTGGATGAAAAGACATCCAGACAGTCCCAGGTATCTGAGAAACATTTCTTTTCAATACACCACACAGAAAAAACCCCTGTCCTCCTGACTCTTGTATTATGTGGACACTGAGGACTAGTATAAACAGGTACTTTGCACAAATGAAGCCCTAGTATAAAAGACAGTATACCGAGCTGAGTAAACTAAACCCTAGTTTAAGATAAAGTGCACTGAGGTATTTCTTAGGAACTAGTCTGGGTTAAAAGGAAAACATTTGAGTCTGACCTAACACTAGCATAGAAGTGGTATAAATATCTCATTGTAATGGGGATTACCACCATAGCTGAGGTTCTCTACATAGTTCAATGGTAATTTCCAGAGAACAAATTTTTTTGTTCAGTTTTCCAATTTGATTTAGGTTTTTCACTCTACAATGTTAACACTGACAATGAATTAATTAAAATTTTTATTAGCATAAATTAATTGCACAAAGTGCTTTCATTGGGATATTTGCAATGTGCATATAACATACTTTGATCTTAACCACTCTCCCTCCCTCCCTTCTTTTAATAGTTCTTAGTACGTTTCATTGTGCTGTTTTCATACAATGAGGAATGAATTTTAAAAGTTGGGGAGAAAAGCACTAAAAACTTTTGGGGAATTCTAATTGCAGAATGCAAGTACAAACTGTATTATCTAACATGTATCCTGTTGACAGAAGTCAAATGCGTTTTGTATTTAAAATAAAATAATGGACAGTTCTTTTTTTTTCAATGAAGAAAAAAGCTTTGTTTTAAAGGTACATTTTGAATATATACTGCAAGGAAAATAAACAGCTTTTCCTTCAGTTAATGCAAACACAGTCTTTGCATTCCAAATGGTATGATAGGCATATATCCATTTAAATGCAGTTCAGTGGCATGTTTTCCTATCCGAATTCTTTTCTACAAAAACTTCATGCATAATTCTTCATTCAGTACACTCAATTTATTTTTCTTCAACTGCAGGAAAAATATAGTCAAGTAGAAAGTAAAGTGACCCACATTGTGGATTTCTTTGTGAGACTGAGAAATCAGATATACTAACTTTTTTGTATAAGCTGTTGATAATTTTTCTCACTGAAAGTATCATATATATGTCATATATGATACTACTCTTGCAGTTTAAATAAAAATAATTAAAGTATCTGTAGTCAATCTAAATAGTTAATGTTAAGAAGTCACTATGAATCTGAAAACTACTTATGTGTTGGAGAAGACCAGTGGATTCCTACTATTTACGTTTGAATCAGGAGCTGTTAGACATGGATTGCAGGAATGGATCTATCAGTCACTAAAAGTGGGGTTATTTAATACTTCTGCTCACCTTACAAAGTTATTATGGATGCCAAATTGTATACCACAATTGTGTAACTTAAATTTTACTGAGTATGTACTATATATGTGCATATCTGTGTATACAGTCTATACCACCAATACAGACAGGTACACACACACAGTTTAGTAAGCTTTAAATAATGCTTAATATATAATACACGTTATTCTAAGCACTTTATAAATAGCTTATCTAATCCCTTTAGTAACTCTTATGAGGTAGGTATCTTTATTTTCCTCTGGTTAGCATTTTGACCCATTTTCCAAGGCAAGCTCAAATCTCATCTACTGCTAAGTGTTTCTTTCTCCCCAGCCCAAAAGAGCTCATCTTTCCAATTGCAAAGACTTACTTATGGAGAGCACTTTAGAATTACTGTCATGTGTTCTAGATATCTGTGTGCTGCCCAGTATGGTGGACTGTCCTGTAAGATCAACGAGGGCACTGACACAATCATATGTGCTCAGCTTGCCCATCCATTTAACAACTGCTTATTAAACACATCTACTAAATGCCTACCATTATTTTTGTTCCTCCCTGGCATCCAAAATAGCACCACCATGAAACACCTGGAATTGGTCTATTAAATCATTTGTGAAGTCATAGCTAATGGTTTTTAAGTAGTTAATCATTTTATAAGTCATATTCATGGTCCCTCAAAACAAACAAAACCCAAAAGGTTGCCACTTTGGCAGCAGTATGTGACAATATTTCCTAATTCTATAGCCTACTATTTCACTCAATTCATCAATCACTAAAAACTTTTCTGAGAAACGACGTTCTTTGGTTTTCCTTAATTTCTACAACCTGCGATAAAAGTCTATTTTCTACAATCAATATGCAGACAGCTCTAATTGTAACTGAGTTTCTCTGCAAGTAGCATTCTAACAAAACCACTAGGTTAGGACGGTAACCTTGGAAGCCCACTGCTATTGTTTCCCAGGGTGCACCCAGGTTCAAGGGGAAGGA